TACTCAGTGTGATATGTGATAGTGAGGAAACATAATGCTATTTGCAGAACGAACCAGCCTCAGTTTTCCCACTTACTATCTATGTGACCTCAGGCAAGTTACTTAAAATCTCCTAGCACTTGCCCCTCACCTGTTTTTGTGGAGACTAATACACTTCTCAACAGTGAATGAGATTATACATGTAAAATCTTTAGCATAGTGCCTAGAGCATTGTAGGTAGTCAGTAAATCCCAACCAATATTGTCAATAGTAATCATTTATATTGTTACCTACACTACATTTTTATTCCACATTCCAGTCTAAAATTATGTGAATGTCAGAATCAATATGGAGTCTTCCTGTGAGTAATGTCTTCCAGCTAGAGTATTTTGTTTATTACAATCCTGTTGTCCCTCCAAATAGATGAGCAAATATGTAATTTCAAAATATTTTCATAATTTTTGTATAGTATTTTTTAGCAGTCAGGTTCTGATGATTGTTGTTTTACGAATTTAAGGTTGCACTCAAATGAATAATTTGTAAATAACACTCACCTTTTTACACTGGTCTCAGTATTACATTTCTGAAGTTCTGTATTCAGACAGTTCCTCAATTAGAAAAATCATTACAAACTCATTTAAGCAAGTTGTTTCAGACATTTACATACTTTGTTCATTCACTTGGATATTTTAATCCTTCCAGTAGAAATTGTGATTTGTGTGTGGAAGTAAAGTGTCTCATGAATGCTTATCTGTGTGTTACCTGGACAACAATATCCTATAGATCCAAACCCATGTGATCCAAACCACACCAGAGTGTCCCATCCAGATCCCAGGTTTCCTACTCACTGTTTAATCTTTGAGTTACTTAACATCTTTGAGCCTCATCTTTAAACAATTTTTTCCTTAGAGATGGGATCTCACTATGTTAACCAGGCTCATCTCAAACTCCTGGCCTCAAGTGATCCTCCCATCGTGGCCTCCCAAAGTGCTAGAATTACAGGCGTGAGCCACAATGTTTTTGTCTATAAAATGACAAGATAATAAGAATTACATATACCTCAGGAGATTGTGGAGAGAATTACATGAGTTGATGTATGTAAAGCGCTTCACACCTGGAACATGGGAAGTTCTGTATCTTCTGTGGAAGTGTGTATTGTGGTTGCTGTTACAGTCGTTCTTTATGTCATGCTTTGTGTTTGCCACTGAAGTTTCTCGCTTTACATTTTTGAGTCTTCTAGAGATGTTTTGTTTGTTTTAAGGTATTTATTAGTATCCATTTCAAATACCAAATTATTTCTTTATGTGTTTTTTGTAAGCTCATTATTCTGGCCAGGTGATAGTGGAAAGTTACAGTTATCTGTGGAGATTCTATTTTTAAATGTTGTCTTCGGCCATCTGAGTCTATTTTGATTGTGGCTTTTTTTCCCCCTGGCAACCAATTTTTTTTCTCCCTAGATTATGACAGGTGCCTCTGTGAAGCTTTCTCTGTCACCTCACCTCTCTCTTTTATAATCCTCTTCTGCCCCCACCATACCTTCCTCGAATATTAAACCTAGGGACTGTTACTTTTTCTCTCCTTGACTATAATACCTGACACCTAGTAAATACTTGTTGAATTTATGACTTGCGTAACATTTTTGATTTCTTATCACATTCACATCTTGTTGTTACTTACTTTTGCTTATAAACTCAGCATTATTACCAGTATTTCAAGTCTATCTGGAGTAGCCTTCTACTCTTTGGAACCTTTAAAGTTGTCAGTAGATTAACTGAAGGTGACCTTTAGTCATCAACAGAAATCTAGTTTATATTTTGCATTGCTTTTCTAATAAGTTGGTGAAGTAAGTGTTGGTGTTAAAACTGGCATTAACCTGATAAAATACACCCTTTGCCACCTTAAAAGTAAAGAAAAAGCGATTCCACTCTCTTGTTTCTTACTCTTTCTGCAATGCTTATAGGAGCTCTGGAGAAAATACTGCTTTCTATTAAAGCATACAGATTTCTTTGCAAACAGAGCATTTTCTGAAAATATACCACATACTCAGTTTAATGGCAATATTTTCTTTAGAAACCTGTTTCTAATAAATCTTTTCTTTTTTAGCTTATCTTTTTTCACAAGTAAGATGACAGATATCTATTTGAGAGCTGCACTCTCAGTGCAGTAAATTGAATTAATACACTTTCAGAGAATCATTCATGTTAGTATGGATAGAGGGAAATGTTGGTCCTCAAACCACACACTGTCACATGTTTAATTTGTTAGATAGTTAACATAGTAGCTGTCTGACTTAAGAAAAGTTGTGAAAGTTGACTGAGTAAACAGTACCTATGATTCATTTCCATGGCATGTTCTTCCTCCCCTCAGTGACCTTCACAACCTTCCAGAGATAGTTGTCAGTGAGGAAGTATTCAGAGTAGGAAATTAAAACGAACTTTGCTGTTCTTCTTTTAGTTGCTGTGTATTTGATTATCCCTAAAAATGTCACACCACTCTCAGAAAGTCATTATACTTTTCTAACTATTTGAATTAGTATATTCAAGAGGTCTTTTTTGTTAATATTTGTGGTCACTATTGCAATGCATACTATTATGCTGAAGGTCCTACTCAATTCAGTAAGGCAAAAATGAAAATAAACAAGAAAAGTTACCTTAATTGGAGAGGAAAAAGTACAGCTCTCTTTATTCACAGATGATATGGTCATCTATGTTGAAAATTTGATGAGCTCTATAAAAAAAGCTATGAGGTTGGTAACTTTAGCAAGGCTGCAGAATACAAGATCAGTGTACAAAAATCAATTGTATTGATAATCAGTTTCTGCATATTAGCAATGAACAATCAGAGATTGAAATTTTAAAAAAGTATGATTTGCAGTAGCACCAAAACGTGAAATACTTAAGGATAAATTTGACAAAACCAGTGCAAAACCTGTATACTGAAAACTATAAGACAGTGTGGAGAGAATGTAAAGAAGGCCTTAGTTAAATGAAGAGGAATGTCATGCCTATGAGAAGAAAACCCCTCAACATTAACAGCTGGTTCTCTCCAGAATAATCCATGGATTTGGTGCATCTCAATCACAGTCTCAGCAGGTTATTTCATAGGAATCGATAATCAGATTGCAAAATTCATATGGAAATGCAAAATACTTAGAATAGGTAGAAGAACTTTGAAAAAGAATTTGAAAAACAAATACTACCTGATTTCAAGATTCATTATAAAGTTACAATAGTGAAGAAAGTATGGGATAGGCCTATAGAGGAGAACACAATAGAGCGTTCAGAAATAGACCCACACAGATGTAGACAATTGATTTTTGACAAAAGCAAGAGGGCAGTTCACTGGAGAAATTACTATCTTTCCCAGTCACTGGAACAACTGAATATCCACATGTGAAAACCAAATAACTTCAATCTACATATTGTATGATGGATATAAATGTAAAACCTGAAAGCATAAAATTTCTAGAAGAAAACACAGGATCAAAAACTCTTTGTGACTTTGAGTTAGGCAAAGATTTCTTAGATGTGACACCAAAAGCAAGATCTGTAAAAGGATAATTTGAACTTCATCAAAATTAAAAACTTCCTTGAAAGACACTGTTAAAAGAATGATGAAAGATACTGTTTAAAGAATGAAAAGACAAGACTAGAAGAAAACATCTGTAAATGAGCTACGTCTAGAATATGTAAAGAACTCTTAAAATTCAGTCATTGAGATATAGTAACCCAGTACAAATGTGCAACACATTTGAACAGACACTTCACCAAAGACAGTATGTTGTGGATGGCAAATAAGTACATGAAAAGCAGCTCAGCATCATTAGGGAAATACAAATTAAAACCACAATGAAGGCCAGGCGCAGTGGCTCACACCTGTAATCCCAGCACTTTGGGAGGCTGAGGCGGGTGGATCACTTGAGGTCAGGAGTTTGACACCAGCCTGGGCAACATGGTGAAACCCTGTCTCTACTAAAAATACAAAAATTAGCTGGGCATGTTGGCGGGCGCCTGTAGTCCCAGCTACTCAGGAGGCTGAGGCAGGGGCATCACATGAACCCAGGAGTTGGAGTTTGCAGTGAGCTGAGATTGTACCACTGTACTCCAGCACTCCAGCCTGGGTGACAGAGTGAGTCTGTGTCTCCAAAAAAAAAAAAAAAAAAGCATAGAAAGAAAGAAATACTACAACACACTTAGTAGAATGGTTAAAATGTTAAAGTGGTGATGATAACAAGTATTAGGAAGATGTGGAGAAACTGGAACTCATGGGAATGTCAAATGGTACGATTGCTTTGGAAAACAAGTTTGGCAGTCCTTAAAAAGTTAAACATAACTCCCATGTGATCTAGCGATTTCACCACTAGGTATTTCCCCAAGAGAAATGAAAGCATGTGTACATATAAAAACCTGTATACAAATGTTCATGGTGGCTTTATTTGTAATAGCCCCAAACGGAAAAAATCCCAGATGTCCATCAACAGGTAAACGCGTAAATCACGATATATACATACAACAGAATATTACTAATGAAGAAGAAGTCAACTGTTGATATCTGCATGACATGGGTGAATCACAAAATAATTCTGAATAAAAGAAGTTGGATTTTAAAAATATGTGATTACAATGATATTCTGGGAAAGGCATACTAATCGAATGACAGATCAGATTGGGGGGTAGTGAGGAAGGACAGGAAGGAGGGGTTACATAGGGAGACAAGAAAACGTGTGGGTCATGAGTAAGTTCACTATCTCAATTGTGGCGATGAAGTTTTGTGTGCGCACACACACATATGTATACTCTGAAAATTGTTTCCTTTGAGCACCCTACTGTAGCTGTCACTCTCATTTCTTTGACTTATTTTAGAATGCAGTTAAGTCTTTGGGAAAGTCACTTATGTCATCAGTAAAGAATGCCACCAAAATAGCTTCTCATTTAAGTTCCCATCCCCAGAGCTAACCCACAGGAGGTTCCGATAAATTCAAATATTTAATAACTTGTATTTTTCTTTCTCCTTAAACACAGGCCCTCTGGTCCTGGAGGCAGGATCATGTGGTGGATTCTTGGCAGTCAGCAGTCTGTGGAGCTTTTGCAGGTGCAAAGGATTATATTATACTGGGAAAGACCTAAGAGGGGGAAAAATGTGAAAATATTAACTGTGCAAAAACAACATTCTTTAAAAATTCCAGGTTGTTTAGATGAAGAGTGCTCCACTGGTTGAGAAAAGAACGTGTCCTAGAGGGGGGAAAAAACTGCTAAAAAGGTGTCTGCCTGAAAGACAACCAATTTGTTTTTGACAAATTTTTCTTTTTCTTTTTATCTTTATTAAAGCCTTCATTCAGGCCCTGGAATGATCTTAAAGATGATTTAGAAAGTCCTCTGTGGGAAGAGACTTGCTGTGGGTGCAGGGCTTACCATGCAGCTGTCTGCCTTGGGCAGTGCTTAGGGGGTTTAAGCGATTTCTGCAGAAGGCAGTGATTCACGGTTGGTGTGACATGTTTGACAGCACTGTAGATTAAGTAGTGTCAGGAGAGCAGAGGCTCCTCCATAACTTACTGAAGGCTAAACTGTTCTGTGTAGGAAGTATGGAAATCTACACATCTGGGCATTTTCGAGACATTAAAGCAAGAGCGAGGTGACAATATGCAATATCATGTTATCCATCACTAAGTCATAGGAATTTTCCAGTGAGGCTTTAATGAGAACTCAAATGCTTTAAAGAGCTTAGTAAGTGACACATTTAAAAACCTAAGAGAGAAGTATATTTTGTTGTTACAAAGTTAAATTAGAATTATAGTTGAAATAAAATGGAAATTTGCCAGAAAAGGAAACTTTTAGTTGAGATGTGAAGCCAGTAGGGGAGGTTTAGGGTGTTAACTTCATTGGAAAATAATTATTTTCCAGTTTGTTTAATAGTCATTGTTTTTTTGTTGTTGTTGTCGTGATTGGGAAAACAGAAAACGTTCATTTTATAGGACTCTTTATTAATAGACTCATTTGACTTGTAGAATTGGTAATCAACAATAAGAATTTTGCCTCTAGACATGAAACCAATCTAGATTGATTATGATGATGATTGTTTCCACATGACACATAGTCATTAGCTGTGTTAAATAATAGGTGGTCTTGATTCATTTTCCAGAGGTCAGGAGTCATTATTCCCCAGTCCCTAAGAGGGATGTGCATTTTTGTAGACACTCTCCTGGGCCCTGGGGACAAAGTGAGCACATAATGGAAATTTAGTCATCCTGGATAAGTAAAGCTACTTTTTAAAGTTAGCAATACTATAAAACTTCCATGTGTTGAAATAAGAAGAACATAATTCTCTTGTCCTATTCCTTAAATACCCAATTCAAAGATTTGCTTGCAGAGACATTGTTACTATTAAGGAAATTTGCATTAATTACAGTTTCCTTTTTGGAGTAATACTCTGTAATAGATGCTAAGGACTTATATTGTCAGAAGGAGGGAGAGAAGGGAACTTCCTATCAGACATCCTCCATCTTTGTAGTAGGATCCTACCATCCAGGCCCTTTCAGTTAAGGTGACTCGCCTGGGGAGTGTGGCAGCACAGCCGGTGCTGTGATGCTGGGGTGTGGAGAAAAGGGAGCGAGGTGCCCACAGCTATACATCTAGCACAGGCTGAGCTGTGTGACTTACAGGATTGTCAAGTCTCTTTTTGGTCCCCAACTCAGGAATGAGACTTTGGGGCCCTCCTGAGTGCCAGTTTCCTTACCTGTAATGTAGAAGCAACAATTCCTACCTTAGGGGATTACTTCAGGGCTTGAGATAATGTATGGTTAGTACTCTGTACTCTGCAAAACCGAGTCGATATAGGGAATTACTACTATTTCAGTAAGAACAACCAACGTCCAGAAAATGAAAACCTACTTTCACAGTAATTCACCTTCTTGATTGAGTGAAGGAATGTCATATCAGTGAAGTTACTGTACAGAACAGTCTCCTCTAATAGCTCATACATTTTAAAATGCCTCCAATACAAGCATCTTATTTTTTTTTTCTGATGAAGTTCTGATAAGTGAAGGAGTTTGTCCAAGGCCTGCAAAAAATCCGTTGTTAGTAGATCCACATATATTTAGCAAAAGATAAATATATTTCTTATTTATATCTCTTACTGTTTTGAAATTTTATTTGGTACAAATGTTGATCCAGAGGAACAGGGTTACTATTTTAAAGCATTTCTGAAGGATAAACATCACTTGAAAATATTCCAATTTATGAAAAAGCGAGATTCTGTAAGAGTTGCAACATGGTGCCTTAAAGAATATAGAAATGAATGATGTCTTGTGAAGTCCCTTTAAAATACTTACATACCGCACTTGCAGACTTTACCCTTACATGGCCATAAAGGCAGTGATAAAACTTGCCCTCAAATCAGAAATCAGATTTCTCATCCCCATGTGCTTTTCCAAGTTTAAATTGGCTAAATCATTGCAGATGAACCATTCTGTGTGCCATCCTTGGCACTCTTTCTTGCTCATGCTTGTTTTATAAACTACTTGGCACAAATATCCAAAAATGTCCCATGAGATTGGAGGTGTTGATGGCTTGTCATGCACAGAAATTCCCTTGGCTTCTGGTCAGGGGTGAAACTAGGGGAAAAAAAGGACTTTGCCAACTTCCTTGCTTCAAGTGAACTTCTAAACATAAACCATAATGCAGCCGAAGTATGACATTTGCTACTATAGTGATATTTGGTGCTCTCGTATATTTTGATCAGTTTCTCATAATAAACACCTCTGTACATTCTCTAGGAGAAAAGGGGGTGGGGGAGAAAGAGGCGGGGAAGGAGATTGATTGCAGTCTCTCTATGGGTTAGAAATTCTAGAATAGGGTGAGGGATTATTTGGGTAACACATGAGAAGGCCTGACACAATCTCTATTAAAATACAAACAAAAACCACTTTCCTTCTTGTTGATGTGGAAGTCCTCCACATCTGTCTACTTCACTGGAGGGCACGCATAAGAGGGGCGTGGTGGTACTCTTGTCCCTCCCAGACTAATCAGGAGCAACGTAGGGCCTGGAGGAGAAATGAACGGCAGCAAGGGTGCCCAGGGGCGGGTCTGGGGACTTGCCCCCTGCTGCCCCCACATTCTCAGCCGTTGCTCAGAGGTGACAGCTCCAGCCTTACTGTAGGAAGGTGGCTACTTTGTCTTTATGGCGGGGAGGGGCGGTTAGGGAATCTGCGTTTGTTCCCCAATGAAATAGATATAATTTTATCTTAAAATTTTAGTTTCCCCTGAATCCTGTCCTCGACAGCAGTTACCTCACATTCAGTAGAAACCTGACTCCAGTGGAGACCGTAGAAGACTGTTTGACGGATGCTTTGAACACAAAAGCAGCCTGTAATTGCTATACCAAATGATTATTTCCTGTGTCATATGTTAGAATGTTCCCTGTATCTATTACCAGTAGCTTACAAATGCCCTTAAATAAAACATAGAAAATAACTACATTTTAACTGAAAGTCCTGGCCCCCAGCCCTTCCCCGTTATGACCATTATTCTATTCTATTATCTTCACAAATCCTCCTTACAGCCTTACAAAAGCATTGTGAGATCCGCGAATCAGAGAAGTCTTTGATATTTGAAGACGGGCAAATTGATTTATTAGTAACACATAAAATACAGCTTCTCTCTTGGTAGTAAAGTTAGGACCTATTGCAGCATACGTGTTTCTGTCTTAACTTTTCTTCATATTACTTTCATGAAACCTAAATCTCCAAGAGAATATTGGCAGGCATCCACACTAAAGTAATAGTGGTAGACCTTTGCTAATGGCCAAAATAAGTTTGATTTGCAGTAACTAAATTTATTAGATGTTCCTTATCAACCTTTAGGTCTTTTTAATTGGTTTAGGATCGTTTGTGAACATTTTCACATATGAAAGTGAGTTTTAACCATTGAACAAATTTTAATTTGTCTTATATATCAAAGTCATTATGTAGTGGAACAAGTAATACTTTTGGAGTCATGATACATGTGACAGTCCCAGGTCCCGCACCAGCTGTGTGGCCTGGGCAAGTAAGTTGGGTGTAAGATGGGAGTAGTAACCCTATGCAAATGAGATCAAATAATCAATGTGCCTAGTGCATTCCTGGCATGCCAGATACGAAGTAAGCACTGCAGATATTAGCTGCTACCTTTACTTTTCCCTGCCTTTTAGAGGATGAGTTGAAATTTTCAGTTTATAACTAGAAAATTTCACTAGAGAACAGGACTGTATATTCACTAGAGAATAGGACTATATATATTTTCAGTTTATAACTAGAAAATTTCACTAGAGAAAATTTAACTAGAGAACAGGATACCAATGAAGCATTTTCGAGTGCCTGCTGTGTGTGTGCTGGTCTAGAGGTACAAAGAAAAATCACTCATTAGCTCTGCCCACCCAGGAAAGAGTTATTTTTTTGATTACTGCTGTGAGCCAGATGCTGTTTCAGACGTGCTGCGTAGGCCCATTTAATTCCTGTGTCATACTACTGTCTGCATTTTACAGATGAGAAAACTGAGGCCACTAGGAGACCAGTGGCTAAGAGTCCCAGTTCTGGAGTCAATACAGACTTAAGATCCTGTCTCAGCTCTGCGCTAAGTAAAATCTTGTTTTTAGCCTCCGTAAGCCTCAGTTTCCCCACCTGTAGCATGGGGTAGTAGGAGTCCCTAGCTCATAAGGTGCTTCAGCTACAGAATAAGTAATTACCTAAGGCTGGACAACTGGTAGAGCAGGGATTTAAACGTTGGTCTTTCCACCTCCAAAGAAGGGTTCTTTCAGGCTAGACCTTGCTGCTGGTGAGGGAAACAAAACCAAATACATTATTTCGGGGTATAAGAAGTTTGAGATCGTAAAGTTTATTGCCTTTGTGTCTTGTGTCTTTTTCCCTTTTCTTCCTTTCTTGGGGGAGAGGGGGAGGGAGGGATGGCTGGACGCATGGATGGATGTTCATGGATGTTCATGGAACCCATTGTGTAACTAAAAGTATATTTACTTTTCCAGGGCAGAATATATGGTTACAAGAGTAGGATTTCAAGACCAAGTCCACAAAAATTTAAAAGACACAAAGCTTAGCAAGTCTCTGAATTTCAGACAGCCTCTGAATTTAAGACAAAGAGTTTTACATACTCATAATTTGAAATGGGTAAACCAAAGGGGATTCAAATACTCATGTCAGTTGATAGTACTTACCCCTAAAGTCTGTGACAGTCAGGGGTAACCAGAAGTGGACCATGAGAGCGTAAATAGGTACACCGTTCAAAAAGTCAGTGTCATAATAAATGTTACCATATAGAGGAGGCTTCGTATAATCTTATTTCAGCATCATATTTAGAAAGAGGTCAAATGACCTTCTTGTCTACAAGCCACAAAAGTGAGAAGGAAAGCAGTGCTGTTTCTGGAGTATCCTTCACATACGTGTGTCCTGTTGCCCTTGTAACACTGCCTGTTTCCCCCTAGCTCTTGGAAGCTGAATCTTTATAACACCTTTTAGGGTTTATTATTTCTCTCTCATAGGGCCTCTTGGGATTTAGAATATATCTTTGTACTGCACTAAATGAAATATTGATACTATAAACTTGGTTTATGTTAAAACAAAGTCCTTCAAAAAGTCCAATCTGTGTACAGTTCAGTCGTCATGACATTCAGATAACGCAAACATGAGAGAGAAGGTAGGAAGGAAGCCATAACGTGGAATGCGTGCTGAAGCAAGACTCAGGCTAAGAAGATGTAGAGGAGAGCTTAGAAATGTAGTAACTCTGACTAGCCTGCTATCAGGAGCCTGTGAAACACAAAAAGCTTTGCTCCTTTAATTCAAAGAATCCAGCCATGTATACCAAAAATCCCCACAATGTTACATGTGACTCTGTCCATTTTGCTATATGCAAAGCAGAAATGATAGAAGCATTTTGAAGTAGTCACTTTAAAGAACGGTGGTCCAGGCTGGGCATGGTGGTTAACGCCTGTAATCCCAACACTCTGAGAGGCGAGGCAGGAGGAGTGCTTGATGCAAGGAGTTCAAGACTAGCCTGGGCAACATAGCAAGACCCTATCTCTGCAGAAAATTTAAAAATTAGCCAAGCATGGTGGTGTGCAGCTGTAGTCCCAGCTACTCAGGAGGAGGCTAAGACGGAAAGATCACTTGAGCCTAGGAGGGTGCGGCTGCAGTGAGCTGTGATCACACCAATGTACTCCAGTCTTGGTGAGAGACAGTGAGACCCCGTCTTAAAAAAAAAAAAAAGACAGTGGCCCATAGAAAGTCGTGAACCCTTTGAGAACCATTAGGAGCAGAGGGTCTCACATACTGAGAGTGGGCATCTGGCCATATTCATGTATGTCATACGTGTACACATTCATCATGTACGTACATATACACACTCATTCGTTTGCTAGTTAATGAGAGAGCAAGATAAATTGTGGAGCCTTGTATTTTTCACCTGAGTGGGTAGAGTTCTGTCACTGCAAAAGAAATGAAGCGTGTGGATAAAGATTGTGCATGTGTGCATCGTGTTCTTGAATCAGTGTACATAATCAGTGTCCATAATGATGAAGTGATTTGGGCAGAGTCAGGAATTCTAAAAATGACAAAATTATCATGTAATACAGTAAACAGTATCTCACTTGGGTGTTGGGTATTATTTGCACAGGTGGATTTGCCGCTGCAGTCACCACACCTCTAGATGTGGCAAAGACAAGAATTATGCTGGCAAAGGTAAGTGGCAAAATAATGTAATGGAGACACTTCAGATGCTCATATCTGTTAGCACTAGGACTACACGTATATAAAGTAAACACAAACGGCTACCATTTACCTGTAATAGCATCTTATGCTGCCTGTGGAACCTCTAAGAAAACCGCCATTGATGGAACAGTATCCCCAGTGTCTATATAACATTGTACCATTTCACAGGCATTTTCCCCTGTGTTATGTAAGCACATAGGGCTGGTAGGGCCATTGCCTGGTAATACTATCTTCAGATAAACTCTATTTGTACTGCTGACAAACCTAAGGCTCAGAGAGGTTGACGAGCCTCCTGCCATGTGGCAGGCTTTGAACCTAGGGTCACGGTTGGCCTTGACTGGATGAGTTAAGACAGTTGTCAGAAATGTTGAAACCATTTTGTTTAAGAGAAAAATTGTTTTAAAAAACCCCGCTAGATAGAGAGTTGAAAGAATGCCATACATATAACATACCTGAACCAAACCAAACCAAAAAAAAGTCCTATGTTTTTGGAAAAGTAGAACAAATATGGCCAGATTTTAGTATGGAGGTGGCAGGATCCAACCTAAGAATGCTGATCACGTTGTAAATGGAACATTTAAACGGCACTCTATTAAATATGCTTATTAGCTGCTTAGGCAAGTTTCATAGTTGTACCGTTTACACTAATGATTCCCTGCCCTCCTCACATTGCTTCATGATGCTTCTTTTTCCTGTTAAATAGTTCGTCATTCATCTCGTGAGCTCTGATAAGCAGAGCCTCCCGTGTGCCGTGGGCCACATCCCTGCTTGCCTGCATATCTGAGCGTAAACGCTTCTGGGCAAGCGAGCCAGGTCCTGATTGCCAAGAAACTCCCTGGTATCTGACACTGTGTCCTAGATGAGGGTGATGGGGAGCTGTGCATCTGAGGATATCTGAGAGGCAAGTGTGTGATTGGGAGCTTCAGAAGATAACAGGTTTCTCTTTGTTCACACAGGCTGGCTCCAGCACTGCTAATGGGAACGTGCTCTCTGCCCTGCATGGGGTCTGGCAGTCACAGGGGCTGGCAGGGTAAGACGAGGAATGCCGTCCCGCCTTTCTTCCTCTCCACTACTCCTCCCCCTTTAGCCTGACTTTGGATGAACACCTCTCCTTCCCGTCTGCTTATGTTCTGCTTTGAGTTTCTATATATTGTGCAAAATATTCTAGTTGATGTTGTATATATGAGATAATGTAGCAAATCAAATTGACGGAGTATTCCAATCAGGCAGTTCTCAGCCTTGCCCATCTTGATGTTAGATGGAATTCACATGTGTGGCCCTCATCAGGGTCTGGGCTGCAGCAGTGATAAAATGGGCTTTTGGTTACACGGTGCAGAAATACAAGGGAGTGAAGGTAACATTGTTAGAAGAAAGCATTTGTGGTTTTGATGTTTTTAACTATTATTAGTAACAAATTACTTTCAACGTACCACAGTGCAGGTGGGATGACTCCACAATTAGCATCAGTTGAGAACCATTGTACTACAGAAGTGCCTCAAACTTCTAGCTTCATGTCCTAAAAAGGTCTCTCTGGAAGAGATTTCAACATTGCTTTGACACCATAAACTTGTAAAGCCACCTGAATGTTGGGATCTTACAGGCATGTGAAATGATGATTTTTCTCTTAGGGACCATGTACCAGGGATTTTCGTGCAAGAGCAAAGCAGTGGCCTCCCTTTGGAGAGGGTCGGCAGCTGCCTGGACTTCAGGCGTCTCAGCTGGCAGTGCCGCCTCTTCATCCTGATGCCGAGTTGGATCACTTATTTGATGGTAGTTTTTGTGTACCTTTGGCAGTTTTAATCTCAGCTATTTGATGGTCTGGACAACATGAAGTAGGTGAGTCAGGCCCCAGTTACAGTTTTTGTAGGAGAGCAGCCCATCCTAGATTGAAATTTTCCAGTTGGAAGTTTGAAAAATTGGTGATATTGGATGGTTTTGTTGAATGTGACAACTCTGAGGGATTGATGTTGGGTGCCTGAAGGGTGTCACGGTTTTGAAACAAGAACTGGGGTGAAGCCAGAGGAATCATTGGCTGTTGACGTCTAGGGAGAGCGTGGGAAGGGCCGAGTGGGGGCGTGTGTGCTGGGAGCCTGCCACTTAGGACTGCCATATCGTGAGCGCTGCTTGTATCTGTGGCACATTCATTCTGCTGCCAGTTCCACAGGAAACAAAGGAATGGTGTGAGAAAAATGAGTCCTGAAGCCACTTAGCCAGTAGCAGGTAAACGGTCTTTATGGGCTGGGTGAGGTGCTCACACCTGTCATCTCAGCACTTTGGGAGGCTTTGAAGCAGGAGGGTTGCTCGAGGTTAGGAGTTTGAGACCATATGGCAAGACTGTCTCTCTAAAAAATAAATAAATAAATTAGCCTGGTGTGCTGGCACGCACCTGTAGTCCCAGCTACTCAGGAGGCTGAGCGATCATTTGAGCCCGGGAAGTCGAGGTTGTAGTGAGTCACAACTGCGCCACTGCACTCCAGCCTGGGTGACAGCAAGACCCTGTCTCAGAAAACAACAACAACAAAGTTCTTATGTGTTTCAAATAGCAGTTGGACTACATACCACAGAGAAGTCACATTCAGTGGCTTTTTTGGACTAGAAAGCCAAAGTGCCAAATTTCACTGTCTCACTGATTTCAGTGGAGTTCATGCTTGATTCTGTGGCAGCTGTTGGGCAAACCTCTTCTGTCGACCTTAGCTTTGTGGAGCTGTGCAGAGCCGTAGCCCGTCTGCCTTTCTGGAGACAGTGGTGGCAGGTGGGGATGGCATGATCGACTGGCAACCCTGTGGCCCCGAAAGCTGGTAGGAGTTGAGTAGATTGAAGATCATCTTCCCTGTGCTGATTGTGGCATGTATTATACTTGATGTTATAAAACTAAGCAGTGCCAGAAATACAGGCAGAAGAGGGGTGTCTTCCTCAGGCCAGGGGCCCGTCTCTGTCCCCATTGTCAGCTCTGTAAAGGTCATCTGGATTTTTTTGCTTATCTATCTTCTGAAAGTGTCAGAAGTCATGGGCTCTAGTCAGTCTGTACAGTGTCGTCTCTTGAGAGCATTACAGACAGCAACGGCTGTCACTTAAGGGAGTTCTGATTAGCCCCTTATTAATGATTAAAGACAATAATTTGACCAAAAAGCAGTCACAGAGAAACCTGGGCTGTTGTGAACAGAGGTCCCAGGCATCCTCAGCCTGAAGGTGTCTCCGCCGGCTTCTTCTGTTGGGTCTCCAAGCACACAGCGCTGCTGCCACCTCCTGTCTCCTCCCCTGGGCGCGCGCTAAGTTTACCAGTTACTACTTGGGTTTTCCAGCAGACACCATCTCCTCACCTTGGGATGGAAAGGTGCTGCCCTCTCGGGGTCAAGTAAGGTGGCGACCACTTTTATCTTTCTGTGTGGTCCACGCAGGTAAAGACTTTGTTCTGGCACGTACTGGGAATACACATCTAAGTAGAAATGTATTACTAAACAAACACCGCGTGTTCATTCATCCCAGTAGCCAAAGGCAGATGGGGAGCCTGCCCACCCTGGATGGCCCCTTTCTGGTTTTCTTCACTCATCAGCTGGCTTTCTGTTTTTGTTGACTGTGCCCTTTATGTAGTAGCTGCCACTGCCGCGAGCATCCCTTTCTGCCTGGCACTGGAAGCGCGTACGTTTGCTCTCATTTCATCTGTGGGCACTAGAACACGCTCCTGCTTAACTCAAAAGTTTTCACCTGCGAGACTGGCTGGGCCTTCACTGTTCACATTACTCCACGTTAAGGCCGTAATTATGTTAATAGATTCAGTGGTCATCTATTGAAACCATAAACTGCTTCCATCTGCCTCTTGCCAGGAGCAGCTGAACTTGTGAGTGGCAGAAGCTGAACAAGACACTGGCGTTTAGAAATAAGTAAGGTAGTAAAGGCGGAGAACTTTGTGGCCAGTGTGGTCTCCTGCAGCTCAAGCACCCTTTCCTTCATAATGTAGGAGCAGGGAGGCTCAGCTGTTTTTCAGGCGGGAAGGACAGAGTGGTAATTTATGAGTTTTTGTCCTCACCACCCACCCCATGCAAACACAATATGCATGATGCTGAGCCTTTTTTTTTTTTTAAAAACAAGTATAGTTTGGTTTTTAGTACAATTTTCATGGTTATTTTTGGACAAGTTATAGGGGTCCTTAATTTTATGTGCAGTATTTTAATGATTTAAACCCTTAGCTAGCTAACTAAAAAGGGCCTCACAAAACTCTTGAGTCTCCCGTTTTCCTTAGAAGCGCTGAGTGCTGCAAACAGAGGGAGGCTGCTCAGCCTCCTCCAACAGCTCAAAGGTCTTGGGAGAAAGGAGGCAGCCAGGTGCTGGAAGCAGCCTCCAGGCCACCAGCTTGCTTGTCACGGAGGCTTTTCCTGTATCTTAAAGGATGCATAGCTACTGTTGGTGTAACTTGACCATTTTCAGTTTTCTTCCATAGACCTGACCAGAAGTCTTTTCACTGGCATATGCACTAGGTTTGCCTTCATAACTTTTTCTGCTTACAGAAGTAATATAGGCATATTTTGTTGAATTGCACTTCTCAGATAGTGCATTTTTTCCCAAATTGAAGGTTTGTGGCACCCCTGCATTGAGGGAGTCTTTCAGTGCCCTTTTCCAGTAGCACATGATCACTTTGTGTCACATTTGGTAATTCCCACCTTTCAAGTATTTTCATTATCATATCTGCTGTGGTGATCTGTGATCGGCCATCTTTCGTGTTACTGTCATTGTTGTGGGGCATCACGCACTGTGTCCACCGAAGACAGCAAACTTAATTGACAAATGTGGTGTGGGTTCGGGCTGGGTCACCAACCGGCCATTCCCTGTCTCTCTGCTTTTCCTCAGGCCTCTATTCTGTGAGAGACAATATTGCAGTTAGGCCAATTAATAATCCTCCAGTGGCCTCTAAGTGTTCAAGTGAAAGGAATAATCACACCTTTCTCATTTTAAATAAAAAACTCGGGCTGGGCATGGTGGCTCACATCTGTAATCCCAGCATTTTGGAGGCCAAGGTGGCAGATGGCTTGAGCCCAAGAGTCCAAGACCAGCCTAGGCAACATGCCAAATCCTGTCTCTACAAAAAGTATAAAAATTAGCTGGGCATGGTGGTGTGTGCCTGTAGTCCCAGCTACTTGGGAAGCTGAGGTAGGAGGGTCACCTGAGCTCAGCAGGCAGAGGTTGCTGTGGGCCATGATCATGCCACCACTTTCCAGCCTGGGTAGCAGCAAGACCTTGTCTCAAAAAAAAAAAAAAAAAAAAAAAAAATTAAAAGCTGGAAATGATTAAATTTAGTGAGGAAGGCATGTGGAAAGCTGAGATAGGCCAGAATCTAGGCCTCTTGTGACAGTTAACCAAGTTGTAAATGCAAAGGAAAAGCTCTTGAAGCAAATAAGAAGTGCTATCCAGCGAATACACTAAATGGTAAGTGTAACAGCCTCAATGCAGATATGAAGAAAGTTTGAGTGGTCTAGATAGAAGATCAGACCAGCCACATCCTCTTAAGCCAAAACCTAAACCACAGCAAGGTGCTAACTCTCTTCCATGAAGGCTGAGAGAGGTGAGGAAGCTGCACAGTTTGAAGCTAGGAGAGGTTGATTCATGAAGTTTAAGGAAAGAAGTCATCTCTGTAACACAAAAGTGTAAGGTGAAGTGGCAAGTGTTGATGGAGAAGCTGCAGCAAGTTATCCAGGAGATCTAGCTCAGATCATCGGTGAAGGCGCTAACTCTAAACAACAGATTTTCAATGTAGATGAAACAGCCTTCTATTAGAAGATGTCATCTAGGACTTTCCGAGCTAGAGAGGAGACATCAATGCCTGGCCTCAAAGCTTCAAAGGACTGGCTGACTCCCTTGTTAGGGGCTAATGCAGCTGGTATCTTTAAGTTGAAGCCAGTGCTCATTGACTCTTCTGAAAATCCTAGAGCCTTTAACAATGATGCTAAATCGACTCTGCCTCTGCCGTAGTAATGGAACAACAAAGCCTGAGTGACAGCACATCTCTTTAGAGCATGGTTTCTGGAATATTTTAAGCCCGCTGCTGGGACCTAGTGCTCAGAGGAAAAGATTGCTTTTAAAATACTACTGCTCATTGACAGTGTACCTGGTCACCCTGGAGTTCTGCTGGAGATGAATGCTGTTCTCTTGCTTGCTAACAACATCCATTCCTTGGTCCGTGGAACAAGGAGTAATTTTAACTTTCAGGTTTTATTATTGAAGAAATCCATTTCATAAGGCTACAGCTGGATCGACAGTGATTCCTTTGCTGGATGTGGGCAAAGTAAATTTCTGGAAGCCTTCTAGAAAGGAGTCACCATTCTAGATACCAGTAAGAACATTAGTGGCTTCATAGGAGGAGGTCAAAATATTGACCATGCTAAGACTTTGGAAAAAGTTGATTCCCATCCTCATGGCTGACTTTGAGAGGTTCAAGACTTCAGTGGAGGGAAACACATACTAGATGTACTGGAAATAGCAAGACCACTATAGTTAGAAGTGGAGCCTGAAGATGTGATGAATTGCCACAATCTCATGATCAAACTCGAACAGATGAGGAGTTGGTTCTTACGGATGAGGAAAGAAAGTGATCTATTGAGGTGAATCTACTCCTGGTGAAGATATGGTGAACATTGTTGAAATGACAATAAATGATTTAGAATATTTCATCAATTTAGTTGCGAAAACAGTGGCAGAGTTTCAGATGATTGACTCCAATTTTGAAAGAGGTTCTACTGTGGGCAAAATGTATTGTGTGCTACAGAGAAATCTTTCATGAAAAGTAGAGTCCATCAACGCAACAATTACAATTTTTAGAAATTTCCACAGCCACTCCAACCTTCAGCAGCCACTATCCTGGTCAGTTAGCAGCCATCAATGAAAGCAAGACCCTCTACCAGCCAAAAGATTACAACTTACTGCAGGCTTAGATGCTCATGAGCATTTTCTAGCAATACAGCATTTTAAAATTAAGGTATGTATAATTTTTAGACATAATGCTACTGCATACTTAATAGACTACAGTATAAACATAACTTTTCGGTGCCCTAGGAAACCCAAAAATTTGAATGGCTTGCTTTATTGCAATATTCACTTTATTATGGTGGCCAAACTTCTCCTGGGACCAAACTTGAAATATCTGAGTCATGCCTATACGCTTGGTCAAAAGGTTCAAAGGTTACGGAAGCATGGGCCAGGAATGTGTCCTGTAATCCTTAGGCAGCAGGCATTCAGTTTAGGGTTTAGGGCACATCCCTGGCATGCCTTTTAGACATGGAATCATAGCCCTTGGACTTGGTTTTTTAAACCTGTTTTGTAATTTTTTTATGTTGGCATCTGTGTATTTCCTCATCTTTATCAGCTACATCATCATCCACTGTATGTTTGTAGTGTGCCGTAACTGGTATCACCAGCAGCAATGCCCCAGTGAAGATGTTTGCACAAATATCTGAGTAGGCACTGGGGCGGGGCGGGGGGCAGTTTTAAAGAATGAATCCTTAATTTATATCCTTGTGGCATTGTAGTTTTACCTTGCATTTCTGATTATTCTACATTGCACCTTGGCTGGTGAGCAGCCTTCTGTGGTACCAAGGGACTGTGCCGGTGGAAGCGTGCTGTCCCCTTCACAGCCACAGCCCGTTTGCCTTTCATGCCTCTAGACAGAAAAGGAACACAGGGAATCCATGGAGGTTCGACTCATTGTTGTGATGTCAGGGTTTGGGGTCTCAAAGGACAAAATGCAGCGGTTGGGCAGAGCAGCAGCATTGCCCAAAAACCTCTGCACCGAGCGAACCCCTGGAGACCACTTTAGAGGTCTGGGCTGGGAAGTGCCTTCCAGCCTTACCTAGGATTCAGCTCTTTAACGCCTTTTTTAAAAAGTCAATTTCATCTCTCAAAGTGAAAAATGGCATGAAAGTTTTAGAACTATTATTGGGACAGCGCCATTACTTGCCTTATTTGGGAGGGTTCACAAGTGAGCTGTTTACGAGTGTTCACAAGTGAGTGGTAGTTAGCCACTAAAGAGCATGGTGTACTCAGCTGAGCAAGCTGTGGGTATTGGAATTTAACCTTTCTTTTAAATACACACAACATTAAAATCCTGTTTTTTCCCCTAGATTATTTGCAGGTGTCTTCCCTCGAATGGCAGCCATCAGTCTGGGAGGTTTCATCTTTCTGGGGGCTTATGACCACACGCACCGCTTGCTGTTGGGAGTTGGCAGAAAGAGTCCTTGAAGCAGAGACAGCCTCACCTCCACTTCTGTCAAGAGAGGGGCCTGCAGTGTAAACCCTCTTCGGCTGAGCAGCTGTCTGAACTATAGGCCCCAGTGCTGAAGACCAGTTCTGCCAAGATGCCGGCATCGAGATTGTGCCATCCGTGGTGTAGGCTGGCTGGTATGAAGTCATTGGCCTGTATGCCAGAGAGCTAAGAGATGAAAACGGGGTCTGTGGCGGTACTCTGAACAATTTCCTCAGAACCTCTTAATAAATAAGTTTGGTAATGCTGAGGCCAGGCCTTTCAGAGCTTTCATTTGATCTGTATCTGATCTTTCATTTCCTGCCACCTGATGGTGGATTCAGCAGAAGGCAAGATGGTTGTCATTTTAAAAGAATAGCTTGTTTGGGAAAAGGAGACTTAGAGAAGAAGTTGTGTACGTGGGTGTTTCTCCCCCTAGTTAATTCCTGTTGTGTAAGGTTAGGCTTTGTTGAAAAAAGAATGAACTACACAGGTGCATAGCAAGCATTCTTTCTGGGTAACTAGGCTGCTGGTTTTAATTACCCTCAGATTTCACCCATAAAAACATACGATGTATTATTTTACAGAGATGTGTCCAGCGCCCCCTGTGGTGTGTGAGAGAGAGCAGCTGCAGCTCAAGTGACTAGGTGGGCCCAGCTGGCTTCGTGCAGGAGGACACGGTGGGTGAGCCATTCTTGCCATTCTCCGTGTCAGGCTGAAAGGAGGGCCTGGGCCAGCTTTGAAAACAACATTGCTAGAAGTAGGCAGGATGAAATGGAAAGGTCACCACACTTTGGGATTTTAGAGCTTGACTAACAAGCTCCAGGCGTAGAAGAATTCAGAACGAAATCTCAGGAATCTAGCTGTGTTGTCTGCCCCGGAGCAAACAGTATATGATTTTGCTTTGCCTATTTTTTTTTTTCCTTTTTTGGGGAAAGATAATTAAAGGCAGAATGACTGCGTTTGTAAAAGAAGGACCACCAACTGTACTGACATTTATAAATGAACCTTTATTAAAGACACTTCAATGCCATCTGTTAGACACTTCAATATTTTACATGGTTTTCAATGTACACTGTACCAAAATTTCTATAAATAAATAACTTTGTACATAAAAGTAATACTTCCTCTTTCACATTGCCTCTCAGAAGCAGCAAATTCACATATTTTGTGGAAGTAAGATTAGTCAGTTAACTGTCAACAAAATTCTGAATGTGCTTACCTTTTGAACAGTGATGACACCTGACAGTAATTGTTAGCTATTTTCTCCGTAACTCCCTTCAGCTTTTGGCCAAAGGAACATTTTAAGGACCTTGTTTCTATGTAAGTTAAGGTTTACTAAATTACACATTGGCACTCACAAGATGGTTAGCTACCAGTCTCAAAAGTGCAAATATACCCAGAACCCAGGTCAAGGTCGAAGTCTTTTCCAGTCCCAGCTCAGTTTCATCTGTGCATGGGAATGGCATGGACAGGCCTGCTCTGGATCCTCAGTAGAAATAAGGTAGCCCTGAAAAGAAAGAACTTCCTCCTTTCTATCCCCCAAGGCCAATGTAATACTCACTCATCATATTGGCAGAACGAAAACATCACTATAGAAAAATCCACAGGTACCAACACCAGCAGCCTTTACCTTAATTAAAAGTCTCAACTAGCGATCGAATGATACTGAGAAGGCCACATTTGCTTTTATCATAAAATCTGAGGAGGAGGAAAGGCAGTGCTTAATTGTTCTGACCATTTGCTTGTGATGGATTAACAACCCTCATTCTATGCCTTAAAGACAGGACTTAAAGCTAAAAGGAAAATTCACTGCAAGTGTGGATGGTACCCTGCACCCCTGGCTCTACAGGGAGACCTGTTACAGGGGCATCCACACATGACCAGTGCTCTCCCGAAGCTCCTTCCAGCGCACGTGGAGTCTGACCGGGCAGCAGTCTAGGGGTCTGTCTACGAAGTGCAATACAAATCCAAGGCCTTCCCTCCTTCCCATCCCCACCAAAAACTCCTGCTAACAAATGTGGTTGTAGCCTCTATAAATTCCAGCCATGCGTTAAGGCACCAGAACTATTTCCCCACCCCCCTCCAAAATTAAACAGCAACCTGATATGAAAAATAATATTGTCAAAATTGTATAATTTTTTTCTGTATAATTTTTCTGTTAACCATGCACTAAAGATTAAAATAGCCTCTGTAAAAGATATATATGAAATCTCTGAAAACTCTTATGTACAATGGTATCAAATACTTTTTCTGCCTTTTGTACACAAATCCCCTCTTGCGTTTCTGTGCTTCAGATGCAAGTCCTGTGAGTGACTGATACTCCACATGGAAGTTACAACTATGTACAGATGAGTGACGCTTGAACCCAAGCTTCCTCACAGCCTCTCCTACCTCTCTTTCCCGTAGAGACTGGCATGACAAGAGCTGAGGTAGACAAAACCTAGCTTTTTGGTGCCAACAGCAGTGGCACCCTCTGTTTCCCGGGGAGCTGTCCTGTCAGTGGCATGGACTCGGGACTGGAGTCGCATGCTTTGGGGAGATGGCCATTGGAAACAAGCAAGTGCTGGGCTGCCGTGCGCTCTGGCCTGCCTGAAGTTAACGAAGATGCAGGCTGTAGCTCTGCGCAGTCCGGGTCGTACAACCTTGCTAAAGTCCAGGAAGAATCCCCTACAAGGAAAGAAAGGACCTGTCAGACCCCCACTTGACCATTTAAGCAGCTCCCAACCCACCTGGTAGTAACTCCTCAGAAGACAGTAAAAAGTTACCTTTCCCATCTAGAGATGCCATTGGCTTTTTCTTCACAGCCGTCAGCATTCTATCGTGGTTACTGGGGTAGAGCGACCCCTGGCACTCGGGGCAGGACCCAGCAGCAGTCCCGCTGCACTGCTGATGTGGAGAATGCTCTTCGTCACTCCCACCCGGCTCTGGGCCATTTGGCTGCACGCTGTCTCTGGACACAGGCTGGGGGTGGAAGTCTTGTTCCCTGGAGTAACAGTCCACTTCAGTGTTGCAGTCACTGCATACAACCCGGCCACCATGTTCTGAAGGACAGTGCCAAAGATGGGTTAGAGCCACTGCTGTGGGAGTCTTCATGCCCACACAGAGAACAGGCTGCTCAGCTCCACTGTGCAAGGTGAGAACCCTGACTGCAAACACTGTATGCGTGCTTCCTCTTTCCCCCAACTCTGTCCCCAGAAAAAGGACTGGGCAAACACCAAGCCACTCGTGAACTGTGGGGTCTTTCATGTTTACAGTGAATTTCATACTCAGAGAATATAGTCTTACTACGTCGGGGGGAAAAGGCCATTAGCGTTAGGTACTATGCAGTGTTGGGTCTTTTCAACAATTAGAAATTAAGCCTCAAAACAGCCCTGGTGAAAAGGTGCTGACTGAAACTCTACATTTTATTTGTGCCTTGCCCCTTATTTAAGTTGCTTATAAATCTAGAAAATTCACGCTTAGGCTTACCATGCCATAGATTTATTTAGGATAAACTATTCTGGAATTAAGAGAGCCAGGCCCAAGCTTCCCATTTCTATACTGAATACCAAATTTGGAGACAGCTGTGGACTAAGAATGTGTCTCCCCCTTTGATGTACTGACTAGGTCAGCCCCAATTTCCACTTCAGAAAGAAACTACTTCCGACGGTAAGCATCTCATACCCATCTTCTGCGGCCCAGGCGTCCCTTCCGCTTTCTCCGTCGCTTTCCACGGCTCTTTGTGATACCCAGTACAGAGCTTTGGCTGCCTGCAGGCAACGCTGTGAGCGTCGGCCTCTGGAAAGTGGCTTGCATCTCTTGGACAGACACCTGCCGTGAATTCCAACACGATTAGAAACTCTGGGCTTGGTATTTCACAGTAAGCCTTATGAAAGGAATGAGCAAGGCCACTAGAATAGTCATTTTCTAAAAAGTTCTTCAGAGCGGCAGGGCTGTTGGTCTGGCAAGCAGCATGTTTTCTATCACTGTTTCCAGGCAGGTACACCGGCCTTGTGAAATGAGCAGCTCATTTCTCTACAAGGTGAGCCTCTACGGTCTCAGGCAAGAGCTCAGAGGCCCCCACCATTGGAAGTACCTTATCCTGGTGAGAGCTTTCCAGTGTAAGACTGGCTCACAGAGCAGACCTGGGCACATTCCCCATGTAAGGAATGGGCTGGTTGGGTTCATGCCCCGTAATGCCCTTTCCAGCTGCTACTCCAGGCAAGCCTGCTTTATCCTGCCAGGGAGGAACTAAGCCCAATCCAGTGGCTTTCTTGGGCGGGGGGACAGGACTTTAAAACCTTGCAGAACTCATAAAGACTGGTCCAAAACAGCAGCCCTTAGTCACAGACTAGAAGTCACAGCCTTCTAGTTCACCAAGTGTGCCCCGTCTGATGCCAGGTACCTGCCCTGCAAAGAGCTGGAGGCCACCTCCAGCACCCGGAAACATAGAGCTCTGCTTCACGATTACTGAGGCCTTACCGTTGCTCTCAATGTGTCCATTGGCCTGAGGGCCACCCTCGGTCCTGACCACGGTTTCTTGTCGGTCAGAAAGGGTCCCCTGAGAAGAGAGGTAGCTTGGAACATCTGGTGGCACGATGGTTTCATCTGCAAGAAGACAGGACAAATGAAACACCAGGGTCTCAGTCACAAGAAATGCAGACACACGTTCATTGTCAGGCTCAGAAAGGGGATCCTCCCAGTGACGACCATCAGGGCTGTGCACAGAGATGGCATGGAGTCCATGTATGCAACAGGCCCTCCCAGAACCTGCTCAGCCTTACTCTACACCCAGTGTGAGGAGCGCAGCCGGCAGATGCCAGTTGCCACAAGAGGTGGAGACCAGTGACAGGAAGGGAGCCGGGATTCTCAGAAGCACCGCACTGGGAGATGGTTTCAGGAACAACCTACTACATGGCAGCAGGGCCTGTGCATAGACGGCCTCTGAGTTACCAAGGAGAGGGAAAACTGCAGGGTGCGTCAGTTACTCATATATGAGAGTATTCCTGTTTAAGGTTAAGTGACTCAAAGTTAAAATGGAATTAGTGGGACTAAAGCCTCAGGAGTTCTGAAGACACTGCGATTCTTTCAAAAGCCACTGGAACCCGGCCCAGTTCCCCAGCATCACTGCCATTCCTCCCTCCTTGAAAGTCAGCTCCGCTGGCAGCACCTGACCTGTGTTGGTGACACTGTACTCTTCACTCTTCTTCCTGGTCTGGTAGATGATGCACACCCAGACCAGTGACGTCAGGACGATGCTGCTCACAACGGCAATGGTGAAGATGCCTACCGTGGTACCGTCCTTCCTGCAGCCTGCTGCGGGCAGGACACTCAGCTGGCTGTGAGCTCGCTCCGTGCCCAGGGTGTTGGACATCTCACAGGTGTATCGTCCCGCGTCCTCTGCCACCACGTTCTGAACCACAAGAAGCTGGTTGTCAGGGGTCAAGTGGTGCCGCTCAGTGAGGCTCAGTGGGCGGTCCCCCTTGAACCAGGTGATGCGGGGCGGAGGGTTCCCCGTCGCTTTACATTGGAGGGCCACTGTTTCTCCCGCAGATACCACACGGTCTTCCAAGGGCACCGCCAAGGATGGGGTCTCTACAAGAGGGCAGCAGAGATCTCAGTCATTCTCAGGGCCTCGGTTGCTCTGGCGCTGCCCTGTCTTCTGGACAACGGACAATCCAACATATCAATGAGATGCATCTGACATTTTGTATCAGAGTGGCAAGTTTTGGAGAAGACCCTTCGACTAAGTCATCTCCGTTCTGGGGGGGTGCTTCCACAGGGACAGTGAACCTCTGCTGACAAAAGCCCCCGCTATTCCCTAACTGTCCTGTGTCAGGCCTGTGTCCCTATTCTTGACCAAGCCCACATCCATCCTGTCCAGTTCTTAGAATGTTCTATATCTAAACCCTATGAAGACTCTTAATTCACCAGCTATCATTTCTTTTAAAGAGATAGAACCACTTAAGAAAAATTAATTCAAAAAGCAGCCCCAAATTTCAAACAGGGTCGAAAGGCCCACCACACATACCACCCCGGCCACACAGAGTATCTGAGAGTCTCTCTCTCTCTCTCTCTCTCACACACACACACACACACACCCATGGAGCAACAGCCAAACCTAAGACAGTCAGGGTGGCATTAGCTGAAATGGAGCCAGCCGAGTTCTGGGCAGTACAGCTGTAAACCCCTGCGTCGTCTATTTTCACATCAGTGATGAAAAACACGTCGTCATCTGGCATGACATGCATGCGTCGCTCACGGGCGGCGGGGAAATCCGTGCCTCCATCCTTCTGCCAGGCAATCTGAGGGTTCGGGTGACCTGTGGCAGCACATTCGAGGCGGGCCATGGTGGTGGTCCGGATGGTTATGTCGTGGGGCGTTTTGGTGAATGATGGCAACACTGGAAAACATATGTATACAGAGTCGGGTTATGGGACGGCTAGATGCAAAGCCAGGAAGTCTTCTGGCAAACACCTACCTGTCACTGTGCCCAGTGCCAGTTCACTTCCTTTCTCCTAATGTCTGCCCAGGACCACTCCTGCCACCTGTGAATCAGGAACCCCCAGCTTCTCCCACCACAGCTGGAACACTTCCATCAGCCTTGCCTTGTACAGCCTAGGCTGGCTATAGTCCCTTCAAAGCAAAGGCTTTTACTCTACATGGCAGTGTCTATACGGGGGTTGCAGGGGGTGCCCATCCACGCAAGGTAGGGCCTGATGCTTGCCTGCCTTAATTACCCACCAGGAAAGACGCTGTGGAGATGGAATTACAGAGGGAAGGCGGGCATGCCTCCACCCTGGGAGAGCAATG